CGAGGCCATATGAGAGTAACATAATGCTCGTCAATCCGACAAGGTGGATGAATCAGTACACTTGGTACCTGACATCCTTCTTCCCACATTCTAAGGTTCGGTCTGGATCCTCAAAAGGTGACAAATACTATGAAATGAGAACTACCAAGGATGAACTTTATCATTTCCGGGAAAGCCGAAGAAGCATCATCGTACACTCTAGTGTTTGTCTTGGAGGGCTGTATGCTGTTGCAGCTTCATGTATAACCTTGCGCCAGGTGGGAGTGAAGTTCTTGGCGAAATGTACTTGATGACGAAATCATTAATTTCGTGCTTAATTGGAAGAAGTAGTGGTTATTTTGGACTGCACGAATCGAGACAGCGTGGGTTTAAGAAACGAAAAGACAACGTCCACGACGACACCAAACACTGTTGGGTGTAGGTTAGAGTGGCTTCACGGAGCGCACGTAAGCTCACTGTCGAGTCCGTAGACAGCTACATTCCATCGACCATGCCCTTGATCAACTACTGAGAACCAATCAATTTTATTTACGAAGCATATGCCGCTGCTCGGAAGTATCGCGCTTACTCTTTGGCCATGCGCGCGCACCTTTGCCTCCACATTCGCCCACTGCGCCATGTGACTCCTGCACAAGTTTTGAATACTTTATGGTCGTCTACCTGACTCAGGTTGCATGGGACGCAGTGCTCGTAATACTGCGGAATCTGTGGGAAATGTCTCAAACGTGGACCGTACTCCAAGCAATGGCACTATCAGGTCCTCGCCCTCTTGCGCAGCACAGGCAAAGATGAATAAAAAACGTGCTCACTTCTTGCCGCCGGTCAAGAAAGAAAACCCCGCGCCTTCGTGTTCAGGCTCGCATATGGAATCCGCCCATATCCCCCGCCTTGTGTAATGGCATATCCCGCCGGCGGGATATGTCATTAGAGAGAGATACCCCAAACTAGGGTAACAAGGAATGTTGATGTCTTGGGTCATCTGGCGCTTCCCTATCTCGGAGAAGCAGAAGGAGCGGACCATGTTCATGCTCGGGTGCATTGGCATCGGCGGGCTAGCCTAGATCTCAGCCGAAATATAAATTGAGCGATAGCGCACAAGAGATTGGGTTGCGCCACAGTCTCTCCTTCATGATACTTCATTGGATCCACTCTAGCCTTCGCTTCAACTCGCGCATTAATGAACGGTCCTTGAGAAAGAAGTTTTCATCCAGGGCCTGGGCAGCCTCGGGTATTAGGGAAAACTTATCCTTAACCTGGGTGACGTTAAACTCGTGGGATCCAACTGAAATCTCACTTGCGCTTTTCAGGGGTACCTGCAGATATTCCCCAAGGCGGCGATAAACCAAGCTAGGATCAGAACGCAAACAATGGTTCTCAATAACAAGGATCTTGTCAGTGGGCAACGCCGCAGCCCACTTGGAGAGGAAAAAACCCATGCAAGTCTTTGCGATGGCTTGCGCCAAGGCAAAGTACAGAAATGATTCCTTTGCTTCAATGGATGTCAGATCGACTAGAAAGGCTCTATAGAGGGGGATGATGCCCCGCTGTTGTGCTTCGATCTCCAAAGCATGCAACGCATCCACAATATTTGGCGACGAGGAAAGCTTGAAAAGCCATAAATCAACATAACTAGCGAGAGCGCCGTCTGGCGAATATAGAGATGGATCCTGAATAAAATCTATGGGATTCTTGCTACCCGTGCTATTCTCCATCTGAGCGAGCTGAATAAATGCAAAGTTCACAAAAGAATGGAAGCTCTCAAGATGCTCTCGAACGCAGAAAATAAACTTGGAGCCTGGTCGAAATGAGGTTGAAAGGAGAGGATTGAACACAACATCGGGCGAGCCATCGACGGCTTTCGTTGGGAATTCCTCTGACGTCCACAAGCATGGTTTGCATGGAAAGAATGTCCCATATGGTAACCATTGCATCGCCTGTTGGCGGTTTGTCTCTTTTCCATACACGTTGAACCATGCGGGCAACACGATGCCATGAAGATGCATAGGGAACATCGCCATCAACGCCGTAGATCCACACTTTGGAAACCCAGCAACAAATACGCAAGGTTCCAGTCGAAGGCAACAAGTCAACATGTACCCAAAGCGAAACAACCATAAAAGACACCACCTGCCTCCATGAAAGCAAATGTTGTACACTGCCTTCGAAGAAAAATTGAGAGAGGGTCCCATGCACGATACCAAAAAGGCAGCACGACACTGCCTCGTTCCGAAAACTGATGGGCTCATGTCGGCCCCGGGTAATCTAGCCATGAGGAATATCAAGTTCAGACGCAAATCATGAATGGACCGCGGCCAACGGATATCCATATCGCATGTAGCTCGCACCGGAGACATTCGAAGCTTTCAGTAAGTGCAGGTGATGTAGCCGCCAAGAAATATGTGCAGGTGATATAGCTGCCAGGGCATATGGTAATACGGCTCGCTTTCTGCAAGCAGCTCAAGTTGAACTTATTACTGTCTCCTAGACGGCGTCCGATGCGGCTGCCCCGTTCAGGGCTTGTTCATAGCATCATAATCTGACTCGGTTGTCGTGGAACTCCACTAATTCGACGCCGTTCGCGAGATCGTGTCGCTCCAGCGTCGGATCTCGCTGGATCGCTGATCTGAGGGGCTGCCCGAGCGGCTGGTGTTCCGCGAGGAGATCGTGTGCGCTGGCAGCGAAATTGTGTCCACGCCTAGCCCCTGGGCCGACGGCGACGTGTTGACCGTCCTCGCGCCGCGAGACGGCCGTGACCGGTCGTCCGGGCAGGTCCCGTCCGGAAACGACGTCTCGTTTGGGCGCCTCCGGGCGGCGCGGGCGCGACTGCTGGTCATCGTTTTTTCCTGCGCTTTGAAGCAATCGATGACTTCATTCGGTCCATAATCTGACTCGGTTGTCGTGGAACTCCACTAATTCGACGCTGGGGACTGTGGAAAGCTCGCGCCGACCACGCGCGGAACGCCCCCGGAACGCGCGTGGGGTCGATTTGGGCATGGGGGCTGAAAGTACCGAATCGGGCCTAGGACACAACATTAAGCAGCCTAGTCGGAGTCGCTGGCGCAGAGGGCCTCCCAGGACGACTGGGCGTCCCCGGGGGTGGACGGGCTTGGCCTCCATGCAGGTCGCCTTGCGCTGGCGTTTCCGGGGCTTGTGCTCCAGGTCGCGCGCGTCGTTCGCCGCGCGGTAGCGCCGGCCGCTCCGGAAGTAGATGTCCTGCACCGCGACGCCCTTCGCCTCGATGATGCGCTCGATGCGCTTCGGGATCGCGGTCCTCCACGATCCGGTCCGGCGTCGGCGCGACCTGCCAGGCGCGCACCACGGAGCGCTCCATCTCGGCCGGCGTGCCCGTCGAGAACCGGCGCGGGTCCGACTCCGGCAGGTTCGACGTGATCGCGACGTGGCGCCAGAGCTCCTGGGACAGGTCGCTGAACAAGTGGGCGTCCAGCGGCATGAGTTCCGGCGAGTCGCCGACCAGGCCGTGGGAGTACCGAGCGAACTCCGCGTTCGTGTCGTCGAGCGCGCAGACCTGGCGGTCCTTGAAGCCCAGCGTCGCGAGGTAGTCCTGCGCCTCGTCCTCCCACCAGGCGGACAGGGCGTCGTGCCAGATGACGAAGTCGTGCTCGTGCGTCGTGCCGCGGAAGAGCTTCTTG